CGGTCGACGTTGCCAAGCTTTGCCGAGCTCGGCGTCAGAACCCCCTGGCCAGCGGTCGCGTCGCCACATGCTGAGCTCGAAAGGTCAGGACCCGCTGGCCAGGGGTCTACGTCACCTGTTTCTGCTGTGCTCGAAAGGTCAGAACCCGCTGGACAGCGGCCAGCGTCGCCACGCCATGGACGAGCAACAGTGCAGACGAACCATGGACCGAATCCCATGGAAGGCAAGCAGTCATCCATCAAGCTCACGCTGAAAGAGCGAGGGTATCTAGCATCCGTTGTCACCGACGGCCAGTGGTGCCAGAGCCGCAAGTACGAGAAGGGCATGGCCTCGGACGACTCGTGCTTGCTGTGCGGCGAGGTCGGCACCCTGCTCCACAGGCACTGTGGCAGCTGCGCGGGTTGGCCGCCAGAGCTGAGGCTGCCCGACAAGATGCGCGAGCTGGCGGCGAGGTCGGACTTGCCCGAAGTGCGCTGCCTGCTGGAGCGCGTGCTGTGGGCGGCGCCGACTGCATCGTCAAGCCAGCCCCGTCGCCGCACGTCTGCTGGCTGGGCGAGAGCGACGGCTTCTTCCCCTCTGGCGAGCTCTACCTGGACGGCTCGCAGTACGAGGGCGACTTCGAGCAGTACGCGAGCGTCGCCTGGGCCGTCATCGCGCTCGAGGCCGACGCCGACGCCTTCCTGTGCGGGGCGTCGGGGATGCTGTGCGAGCCCCACGTCGACATCAACGGCGGTGAGCTCATGGCGCTCCTGATGGTCCTCAGGTTCGCGGTGCCGCCCGTCACCGTCGTCGTGGACAGCGGCTTCGTGCACCGCGGCCTGCTGGAGCTGGGCCCGAGGCGCACCACCGCGCACGGCGCGGCGTGGGCCCACCTCTGGAGGGAGGTCTGGGCCAAGCTGGAGGACTTCGGCGGCCTGGGCGACGGCGGGCTGAAGGTCAGGAAGGTCCCCGCCCACCAGACGCAGAGGGAGATGGTCGCCCACGGGAAGATCTCGTACCGCGACTGGCTGGGCAACGGCATGGCGGACAAGGCCGCCAAGTCGGCGGCGGCGGCAGGACGGATCCGCCAGCAGGATCGCAGGAGGCTCGTCCTGGCCGACAAGCTGGTCGAGGGCGTCGCGCTCTGGGTCTCGGCGGTGGGCGGCGCGCTGGACGGCAGGGACACCACCCACCGCGTGGCCAAGCCGCAGCGCCCCGCGCCGAAGGCGCTGCTGGCGCAGCCGGCCGCCAGGCTCTCCTGTGCCTGGCGCGGGGAGCCTGGCAAGCGGTGGTGCAGCCGCTGCCGCTGGGTGGAGCGCTCAGGCGAGTGCCCAGGCACCATCGTGCCAGCGGCGCTCCAGCACAACGCCGAGCTGGCCGCCAGGGGGCTCAGCACGCACGTGCTCGTGCGCATCGAGCCCGAGCGTGACGTCGAGCTGCGCCGCGACATGCCGCTGGTCGCGTGCGCCGCCTGCGGAGCCTTGGGGGCGGCCAGGGCCTCCAGCTTCGCGCCGCCGTGCGGCCGCGCGTCGGCCAAGGGGCTGCTGGCCGTGGCGCGCCTGGAGAGGCGGCTCGCCCCTGCGATCTCGGGCAAGGTCGCGGTGGCCATCAACCCGCTCAGGAGTGAAGGGTGACGGCCAGCTTCCCCTCCTCCTGGCGCGGCGGGCCGACGGCCTGTGTGGCCCGTGAGGCCGTCGCGCTGGCGGCACGCCGAGCCCGAGGGGCCGTGGCGTGCGGGCGCTCGCTGAGAGCGCGAGCCCGTCGCGCGTGGGGCGCGCGGCGAGCGCGGGCGGCGGGTCACACGCGCCGCCTGAGGCTCGTGCATCCTCCTCCTCCTCCTCCTCCCTCCTCCTCCTCCTCCTCCTCCTCCTCCTCCTCATCTCATCATCATCATCATCAATCATCATCATCATCCTCCTCCTCCTCCTCCTCTCCTCCTCATCCTCCTCCTTCCTCCTCCTCCTCCTCCTCCCCTCCTCCTTCCTCCTCCTCCTCTCCTATTCTCCTCTTATTCTTCTTCTTCTTCTTCTTCTTCTTCTTCTTCTTCTTCTTCTTCTTATTCTTCTTCTTCTTCTTCTTATTCTTCTTATTTTTATATTATTCTTCTTCTTATTCTTCTTATTATTATTCTTCTTCTTCTTATTCTTCTTCTTCTTCTTCTTCTTATTCTTCTTATTATTCTTATTATTCTTCTTCTTATTCTTTTTCTTCTTATTCTTCTTCTTATTCTTCTTCTTCTTCTTATTCTTCTTCTTCTTCTTCTTCTCTTCTTCTTCTTCTTCTTCTTCTTCTTCTTTTTCTTCTTCTTCTTCTTCCTCTCCTCCTCCTCCTCTCTCTCCTCCTCCTCCTCCTCCTCCTCCTCTCCTCCTCCTCCCTCCTCCTCCCTCCCTCCCTCCCTCCCTCCCTCCCTCCCTCCTCCCTCCCTCCCTCCCTCCCTCCCTCCTCCCTCCCTCCCTCCCTCCCTCCCTCCCTCCCTCCCTCCCTCCTCCCTCCCTCCCTCCCTTCCCTCCTCCTCCTCCTCCTCCTCCTCCTCCTCCTCCTCCTCCTCCTCCTCTCCTCCTCCTCCTCCTCCTCCTCCTCCTCCTCCTCCTCCTCGGGGGCACCGTGCCGAGAAGGAAGCTCTGGACCGCGGAGGTCGCTGGGGCCGTCCTGGGGCCCTCTTGGGCCGCCTGGGGGCCCTCTCGGGCCCGTCTTCGGCCCATTTGGGCTGTGGACGCCACGACAATGGACAGTCTACGCCAGATTTCCTAATAAAAGGGAGGGGGTCTGGACACTCCAAGACAAGCCGTTTCAGACCCCCCCCCGTGGGAGAACCCTCCAAAACATCGTCCCCAGACCCCCCAGGCCCTCACAGATAGCCTGGAAGAGACCCCCCCGAAATGAGACCCCCTCCCTTTATCACGAAATCTGGAGTAACAGTCGTGTCGTTGAATCAAACATGTGCTCAAAATGTGCAGAACATGCTCTCAAAATGTTTCAAGCATGTTCTTTTTTTTAAACAGATTTAAAGCATGCCTGAAACGTGTTTTAGAATCTGGAAGTGATTTGGCAACATGCTTCCTCTCCATTGATCGTCCTCCACAACCTTTGGGGGGCCTCTGGGGCCGTCGTGGGAGGATCTTTGGGGCCTCTTGGGCCGTTGGGGTCCTTCTGGGACTGAGAAGGGGGGAACCCGAAGATCCTGCCAAACCCCTTGAGAAGTCCATGTTTTTGGCCTCCTGAGGCCCTTTCGGAGGCCCTCTTGAGGACCTACGGAACGGTCTCGAGACTCTTGGACCGTCTGGAGGCCATCTGAAGCTCTCTTGCGGCTGTCTTGGGGCCGTCTGAAACCGTTTTGGGTCCCTCTTGGGCCATCTTGGGGCCCTCTGGCCAGCTCACCCGGAAAAATACAAAGAAACAGACCATGGGAGCCGCCCAGGAGCCGCTTCACTCGAAAAAAAACTTAGGATAACGGGCCATTAGAAAAACCACCCGCGCCTCGCCCCTCCACTGGACCCCTCCCCAGAAGGCTTCGCCCCACATGAACGTCATCACTCGTACCTCGCTCTTTCCGTTACCTGCTTGGCACGGGGACGGAAAGCGCTCACACTCTGTGAGGGCAAGAGATCGCTTGCTCAATGTCTTGAAACCCTCTCGGTGTTAAAGCGATGACACGTGATACAACAAACTAACAACCAGCATTGCGAACATTACTGAATGGACTCTCCAGGCCTTCCTTGGGGACCTTTTGGGGCTCTTTGGGGCCGTCTTGGGGGACTACGGCCATCTTGGGGCCCGCTCGGGGCCGTCTGGGGCCTTCTGGGGGACCTCCCGTGGCCCTCTTAGGGCTCTCTTGGGAACCTTTTGGGGGCCCTCCGGGGCCTCGCTTTGGGCAGTCATTTTGCAGAACGCAACATCTGCCCACGGCGCGGGTCGGCGAAGCGCGGCCGTGCACCAAACCACGGCCTACTCGGGCAGGCGGGGGAGAGCGGAGGCAGGATGTGCGGAGATGCGTCGGGCGTGGGAGCGAGGGGGGTCGAGATTGTCCCTTAGGAGGCAACCACTGGGAGGTTTTCGTCAGAAAGAGTAAGGAGGATTAAGCCCCATTTGGGAGCTGAGTGGAGTGGGTCTCGGACTAAGCAGGATTAAGCCGGAACAAACGTGATTAAGCGGGATTAAACCGGATTAAGCGGAATTAAGCCGGATTAAGCCGGACTTCGGACCAGGGCAAAACCAGAATTTGACCTCCCAGGAGTTGCATCCGAACGTGCCCATCACTGCCTTCGGGCAGAATGGATGGTGAGGGCCCCGGATGGCGCTTGCCATTGCCATCGCATCCGAAGGGCACCAAAAAAGATAGAGAACTTTCGGCACGTGGAGAAAGAAATAACTAAGCCCCTCCTGTGTATCCGGGCCGCTGTCGAATCGCGTGGTCCGTGGCGCTGTGGGGAGGCCTAGCTGGCTGAGGAGAAGGTTGGACACATACACGCAGAAGTCATACAGAATAGAACCAGCGCGAGAGCTTGAGCTCTAGGACAAGTGTTGCGAGGCAGGGATTTATCCATATCCACCGCCTGGGAACCGACGTCCTGGTGTCCCAGTGGGCGGTAGGTACGGATATATTTCGGCCCCCAGGGGCCCGAATATGTCCATATCCACCGCGTGCCGAGGCTCCGAAACCTGACCCTCCAGGCGGTGGTCATGTAGAAATTCCCACCTCGGACAACATGCGCAGTCATCGGAGATGCAAAGCACGCTGGTCTCTGCGTCTTTCCGACGGGGCAGGCAAACCCACCAGGCGCCCCGACATTTGTCGTAGCATGCTTGCTGGGCCCGGCTGTCCCCGCAAGCCGACCGACTAAGCACAGTGATGTGAGCACCAAGCGTGGGCGCTCGATTGAAATGGCCGCTAAGCGCTGCCAACGTCGCAAGGTCATACCTTCCAGACCACTGCCGCATGCACAGGCAGAGCAAGCTGCCCTTCCATTGACGTGCTCTCGCACGTGCGCGTTCCTTCTCCTTCTCCTCCTCCCCCCACTTCCCCCCGCAGCACTGGTCCCCCGATGCCCCGCGCTGGAAGTAGCGGAGTTGTGCGCGAATCGAATCGTCATCTGCCGCCAAACTCATCTCCTGGGAATGGCGCTGTGATGTGGCTTCAGGGGCCCTTGTGATTCGTACCAGCACTACCCTGAACGTGCACAGGTTGCGCAACGCGATGCGATGCTTGCCTGTACCATTCGGGCGTCGCGGTCAACCTTGGGACCCGAAAAAAAAATGCAGCATGGCGGCAACGTGTGCCTGTACCAGTGCGGCAGGCGGTCATCCTTATCCTTTGGACCGCAGATCAAATTGAATAGCTCTTGACGGTCCTGGACCGAGCGTGAGGCAGGAGCGTGAGTCGGCACTGGACCGAGCGTGCGGCAGCAGGGGATCGGCCCTGGCTGGGCCGCGCATTGAGGTAGCAGGGGTTCTCTTCCGGACCGCCGACAAGCGCCTCGGCTGCGACTCGTCACAACGACATCAGATGCGTACACCCTGCGAAATGCTTAAGAAATCATGGGTTTAGAAATTCATAGTCTCAGAACTTTAATGAAAAACCCAACATGTCTATCAAACTCTTAAGATTTACATTGAAACGTTAAGAATAATCGAGAGTCTGGCCGAAAACTTAAGTTTTCTTAAGCATCGCCTAAGGTGTAGCCTACTCCCGGCCCCGGATCGGAAATTCGTTGTTTGCCTGTCGCGCTGCCTTTCCTGGGCAAGCACGGGCATCATGAATCCCACCGGCCCTCCGGGCGCGGACGGTTTCACGGAGTTCCTTTTCTCTCTCTCTCTCTCTCTCTCTCTCTCTCTCTACCAAAACCCCTCCTTCCCCTTCTCGGGGAGGGGTTCAACCCTCCTCCACCCCCGCCCCCTGGGCCTGGGAGGGGGGAACCGCGGGTTGTTAGAACGCCCAAGATGGCCCAAGATGGCTTCAAGAGGGCCTCAGAGAGCCCACTATGACCTCCAAGATGGCTCAAGATACCTCAACATGGTTCAAGATAGCCTCCGACATATATCAAAGAGGCCTCAAGACGGCCCCACCCAAGGTGCAAGTGCCCTCCGAGCCCTCCAAGGACCCACCCAAGAGGCCAAGATCTTTCAACAACGTTGGGAAAATCAATGGTGTTTGCCTTCTCGCCTTTTCGCTTCCGATGGGCCCTAGAGGCCTCAGGATGACCCCAACACTGTCCAAGAGAGCCCCAAGAGGGGCCCAAGAGAGCCCCAAGAGGGCCCAAGAGTGCCCCAAGAGGGCCTCAAGACATCATGTTTGAGCCTCCGAGGGGGGGGCCTGAATGTATGACCCCCCTCGTTCTGAGCTATGGGACCAAGACGGCCCCGAGAGGCCACCCAGACCCCCTCAAAGAGCCCGAAGAGGGCACCTGGGCCTCCCGAAAGGACCCCAGGAAGGCCCCAAGAGTGCCCCAAGTGGCTCCGCGAGGACCCCAAGAGAGACCCGAGACAGCTCCAAGAGACCTCCGAGGAAAAACTTCCACGGCGGTTGTTACACTGCATGCTTCTGTACTTCCCTGATCAAGGCAACTCGCCCGACGATCTGTTTCTGGATGGGTGGGCGGGGATAAGCGAAGCGTCAAGAAATCAACTATGAGGACGGACACCGCGCTAGCATCGCGACTGGATTCAGCAGCATGACCTGGTTGAACACCTAGTACAGACCTAGTCAGCAGGACTGGTAGCAGCACTCGCTGGCATAGCCACTGGATTCAGCAGCATAACCTGGTTGAACACCTAGTCAGGACCTAGTCAGCAGGACTGGTAGCAGCGCTGGTATGACCTGGCTGAACTCCATAGCATGGGGAAGCATCACCTGATTCGAGTATGGCCCTCAAACTCCGCTTCAAAGGAAAAAGGCAGCGGATTGCCAGGTTGAATACTTATAGCAGATTGAGTTGCTGAGGCTGTTCAGCAACACAAGCGGATAAAATGTATTGTAGACGATCGACATATCCGCTGCAAACACACTACGCCACAAGATCTGAACACTTTGGCGTCGCGGGTGATCATTGCCAACTTTTCCTGAAATCCCGGGCAGCCGCACCCAAGAGTTGGAAACTTGGCATCCAACAAGGTGCGGTGACAGACCGTGCGGTGGCCCTGAAATCCTGTTGGAGCTCACCGCACGGTCCGTCCGTCACCGCACGGTTCTTGGACCTCGGAGGCTCCAATCGCCAAAGACAACCTCGGAGAACGACTCGAGTCCTCAAATCGTTCTTGTTAGAAGAAAGGGGAAGGCTGAGGGGACACGAATCGGACAGCAAATCCTCCCGCTCGCAGAGCCAACAGTGCTGGCCAAACGCATAGTGTGCTCGCCCCATGACGGCCTCCAACCGTTTATATAAGACACACACACACACACACGGCGACGCCGAGCGTAGCGGACTCGAGCCCACAAATCGTGCGGTCACCCGGAATCCCCCCTGCCTCACCCCACGGTGTGGCCACCGCACAAATCCGGGAGGCCCCGAGCGAACCCACACACCCCCGCTGCCCCAAGAGCAGTGCCCCCGCTGCCCGCGGAGCGCGGGGGCCTCGTCGACAGCGACCTCCCTGCGTGGCTGGGGCGGGCGTGGGCGGGCGCCTCCGCGGACGGGCGCGCGGGCCTGACTGGCTCGCTGTCCGACTGGCTCGGGCCCGCGGAGCACCGGATGATCCTGCGGTCGTCGAGGTCGGGCGGCCCGTGGCCGATGCTCCGGCCCAGATGGCTCCCGGCCGTCGAGGTCGTCGACGTCTGTCGCGCTTGCGGTCGCCGAGGCTGGTCGGGCTCGCGATGCTCGTCCAGCCCGGGGACTGGGACGGACGCGGCCCTCCGCCTGCGGTGCTCGTTGCGAACGGGGCGGACGCTGCCCGCCACAGAGGAGGACCGCCCGCTCTCGACGGCGCCCGGGCTGGCCCGCTGGATCCCGGCGCCCACCCCGGAAGGCCTCGGGGACTCCTCGGAAGTGTCGAAGGTCGACTCGGCGTCGCTCGTCGACGCGGTGCCACTCGTCTGGCCGCCCACTGCCCCGCTGCCGACCAGCTCCACTCGGGGCCCCTCGGGCGCCGTGGGCGCCTCGGCCGCGTGCCGGCCCGGCGTGCCGCCGCAGGGGCGAGCCTCGGAGAGCCTCCGGCCGAGCCTCTTCAGCTCGAGGAAGTCGTGGAGGGTCACCAGAGGCCCGGGAGGATCGGGTCGGGCGAAAGGGGGGGATAGCAGAGGGGGGGGGTGAGAATCAGCTCACGCAGCTGATTTTCCCGGCGCCTCCCGGCGCCGGAGGCGCCCATGTACCGAGGAATGGGCCCCTCGGTGGGGCCGAAACCGGCTGCGTGCAGCAGATTTCGTAAGCCCCCCTTTCCCAGTCCCCCCCTCTCGCCCCGCCCGAGAGGCGGCCGGAGCCCATGGGGCCTGCGGACCGCGCCGGGGCCGAGGGTGCCCGAGCCCGGCGC